GAATTACCACGCACCGAATTACCACGCGCCGAATTACCACGCGCCGAGTTACCACGCACCGAATTACCACGCGTTGAATTGCTACGCGTGGAATTACAAACGCGTCGAATTACTACGTATCGAATTACCACGCACCGAATTACCACGTGTGGAATTACCACGCGCCGAGTTACCACGCACCGAATTACCACGCATTGAATTACTACGCGTGGAATTACTACGCATCGAATTACCACGCGTCGAATTACCACGCGCCGAATTACCACGCGTGGAATTACCACGCACCGAATTACCACGCGTCAAATTACCACGCGTCGAATTACCACGCACCAAATTACCACGCGTTGAATTGTTACGCGTGGAATTACTACGCGCCGAATTACCACGCATTGAATTACCACGCGTCGAATTACCACGCGTCAAATTACCACGCATCGAATTGCCATCCGTAGAATTACCACGTGTGAAATTACTTCGGGCTGAATTACCACGCGCTGAATTACTACGCGTTGATTTGCCACGCGTCGACTTATTGGTTCGTGTATTTCTTTAATAATTCAAAAACGGTGCTTCAAATCCCATTTTTGCAAAGGGATATCTTATTCAGAATCATGTCAGCTACCCCCCATTTCAGAAACCTACACTAATTGTGGGACACCCTGTAAAAAAAGTATACATACTTTTGCTGGAAATAGGTAGAGTGGTCAAGGGACAGTATGAGGGTGCGACAGTGAGTCTTTGGAATTAACGTTGTCTTTATAACTTTGGCTTACGTCTTTCTTCTGACTCCCTCTTCTGGAGGGAGGGAATCTCTTTCTTCTGAAATCTCTTGTAGTGCTTCGTCTATAGTTATGCAACTGATTTGGGTGGTGTCGAGGTACGTAGAGAGTTGAGAATCTTTTGAGAATGCTTTTTATCCTCTTTTTGGTTGATTAATTTTGGGCAAATTATTATTGTTTGTATTATTACTGTAAATTGTTTAGGGCAATTTTGTAGTGTTTTTATATAGTGTCATAGAGATTATTTTGTTCCAAGGAATATATGATATTACTTATATAATTATGTAAAATTATATAAAAGAAAATTGTATATAATTATTTAAAATTATCAGATGATATAGGATAATATTGTCGTACGAGAATTTCCATAGTAATATTCACATGGTAATAACATATTTATTCTTGTGACTTTCGTTAATAGCGGTGTTGTATTGTCATACACGTGTACATAGCACGTTCTTATAAACGGGAATTTGAAAACAGAGCCCGTTCACAGTGTTGTACGATTTTGATCCTAGGAACAAAACAAGTTTTTGTATAATCTGTATTATGGGACACAATGAAGTGTGTACATTTCAGTGAGGATTTAGAAACGGTAGTTATTAGGATAACTTTCCAGACAACATTCATCCGTGTTTATTATATGAGGAGTGTTTAATAATGAAGGCAGTATAATTAAATCCTTAATTATTGTCGATGGGAAGTGTAACGTATAGTAAAGTTATCACGTTACCGATGTTTCCAATTACCAAATTACCAAACCACTAAATTTCTACATTCCCATATTATCGAATTTCTAAATTTGTAATTACGAAAACTCGGAAGCACGAAAGTTGTAAAATCGCCAATCTCACAAATTAGTTCATTTCATACTTCCCTTCTTCCACATTTCTAAAGTAGCAAATTTTAATCTTACCAATTTGTCAACTCACATTTTGACAAATTCACACATTCAAATAACCTCAACTTAAATTGCCAAGTTTACAAATTTATAATTCCATAAATTAGAACACTAAACTTATAAATCTATTTCATCCATAAATTTATAAATTTAATTTTCCAATAACTTATAAATTTACAAATATAATAAATATAATTTTCTTCAATTATAATTCCAAAAATTTCTAATTCTATTTTGTCCATAAATTTGTAAATTTAATTCTTCAAAAATTTATAAATCCAACATTCCAAAAATTCCAATCCATAAATAAATACGAATACAATACTCTCCGCATCCAAAAATCTCCGTCAACAAATCAACTTATTTACAAAAACTTGACGAGCATCCAATAAAAACACGCTGAAAGTTTCCTTCCCGCAGAAACAAAATGGATAGAGGAAGATGTTGGACAACAAGAAGACTCGTTTGGACGCAGTACATCAAAATTAGTCAACCACGATTCAGCCATTGCAGAGATTACAAATTTTGATCATGATTGCTCAATCATGACCAACACGAACACCTGAACAACCAAAAGACCACACCAATACAAACGAACATCTGCAGAGTAATTTCAATTTTTTAGATTTGGAAATGTTCATGTTTTCAAATTCTCAGATTTGGAAATTTTTAAGTTTTCAATTTTTCAAATTTGGAAATTTTCAAATTTTTAATTTCTCAGATTTGGAAATTTTCAAGTTTTCAATTTTTCAGAATTGGAAGTTTTCAAGTTTTCAATTTTTCAGATTTGGAAATTTTCAAGTTTTCAATTTTTTAAATTTGGAAACTTTCAAGTTTGGTAATTTTCGAATTTCGACCTTTTCTAATTTCTAAGGTTTCAAGTTTTTAAGTTTTGAAATTTAGGAATTTAGGAATCTAGAAATTTAGGAATTTAGGAATTAGATGATTTGTAAAATTACAAACTTAGAAATTTGGAAATGTGGAATTCTGAAGATCTGAAAATTCGAAAATGTGAAAATCTGAAGATCTGAAAATTTAAAAATTTGAAAATCTCAATATCTGAAAATTCAAAAATTTGGAAATCTCAAGACCTGAAAATTCGAAAATTTAAACATCTCAAATTCTAAAAATTCGAGAATTAAAAAATTTGGCAATTTAAATATCACAAAGATTTGAAATCCTCAAATTCCAAATTTGAAAAATAATTAATTCCTAAATTGAAATACCTAACTTCCCAAGTCATAACAATCTCCAAATTAAACCTCCCTAAAACTCCAGAAATAAATTTTCAAACCATCCCAAAAATACTAAAATAAATCCTCAAATCAATTTCCCAAATTAATTTTCTAAATTTCCTAAAAACCTTCAAAACCCCGTATTCAACCCCCCAAAAAAAATTTGCCAGAAATGACCTATTCAAAAACCAAAATCATTTCACCAATCTCAAAATTTCCCAAAGGAAATTGCGAAATCGTCACGAACATGAAAACCATAAAAATTATCGCTGTCCAATCAATTTCGTCGATCTTTAAGGACACTTAATTACCTCGAGCACGATTTATTGATCTTCGATCAAATTTTGTCTCGTTCGACGATGAGACTTCGAAGAAATCAATCATAAGCCAGATTTTTTCTTCCAAAATTTTCTCTGCAGATGTTCGTTTGTATTGGTGTGGTCTTTCGGTTGTTCAGGTGTTCGTGTTGGTCATGATTGACCAATCATGATCAAAATTTTTTATCTCTGTAATAATACATAAAATTTGATCAAAACTGTAAATATAAAACAGTGCATATACATTAACAGGAATTATTTTGTAAAATTTTACGAAACTGCAGATAGCGAATATTTTAGTTATCAACTGGTTTTATAAAATTTTATCAAAATTCTGGATAACGATTATTTTATCTGCAAGGATAATTTTGTAAAATTTTTATGCGAATTGAAGCGTTTCGTAAAATTTTACTAAAATTGTAGATAAGGAGTATTTTGCATATCGGTTAGGATCATTTTGTAAAATTTTAGTGGTGATAGTATAACGAATATTTTATTACTCATCAAGGATCGATCCATAAAATTTTATCCGAAGGTACAGATAAAAAATAATTTGCATATTAACAGGGATTAGTTTGTAAATTGTTAACGGAAGATAACGAATCCTTTGTATATCAGTATAATTTTGTACATTTTAACAAAATTGTAGATATCAAATGATTTATGGACAAGGACTATTCCGTAATATTAAAAAAAAAAATTGTAGATTACGAAAAATTTACGTGTCAACAAATTTTTCGTAGATTTTCAACAAAAATATAAATAACAAATGATTTATATATTTAATGATAAGAATGAATATTTTGAAAAATTGCAAATTTGGAAGTTATGAGTGAAAATTTAAAATAGTAACAAATTTTTAGCCTTTCAAATTTTCGCGCCAATAATTTGAAGAAATTTATTTTGTAAAATTTTAGCGGGATTGTAAATAACAAATAATTTATGTATTAAATGATAACGTTGAAGATTTCATGAAATTTTTTACAAGTTCTGCAAATTGTATTAGGAACAAATTTTTGGGCTTTCAAATTTTCGCGCCAATAATTTAAAGAAATCTATTGTGTAAGATTTTAGCGGGATTGTAAATAACAAGTAATTTATGTATTAAATGATGAAGATGGCTGTTTCTCGAAATTGCAGATCTGCAAGTTCTGAAAATTTAAGTCAGTAAAAAATGTTTAGACTCAAATTTTCGCGCCAATAATTCAAAGAAAATTATTTCGTAAAATTTCACTGAAATTGTAAATAGCAAATAATTTACATACCAAACGATAAAGATTAATATTCCTACAAATTGCAGATGTACAAGTTCTGAAAATTTGAAACATTAAAAAAGTTTAACCTTTCAAATTTTCGCGCCAATAATTCAAAGAAAATTATTTCGTAAAATTTCAATAAAACTGTAAATAGCAAATAATTTGCATACTAAACGATAATGATGAATATTTCTCAAAAATGCAGATGTACAAGTTCTGAAAATTTGAAACAGAAAAAAGTTTAATCTTTCAAATTTTCGCGCCAATAATTTAAAGAAAATTATTTCGTAAAATTTCAATAAAACTGTAAATAGCAAATAATTTGCATACTAAACGATAATGATGAATATCTCTCAAAATTGCAGATGTACAAGTTCTGAAAATTGTATCAGTAAAAAATGTTCAAGCTTTCAAATTTTCGCGCCAATAATTTCAAGAAAATTATTTCATAAACTTTAACTAAAATTGTAAATATCAAATAATTTGCATACCAACCATTAGAGATAAATACCTAAAAAAAAGTATTGATTCACAATTTCTAAAAACTTGAAGAAGTATTTGTAAACTTTCGAATTTTCGAGCCAATAAATGGAAGAAACGGGTACAACGTGTTCACAGAATTCATAATACGTTTTAAAACGAACATGGAGAGTTAACTAGTCACGATCGAAGTCTACTAGTCAACAGTCGTGAATGTGATTTTGATAATCGTGCTCGCGTGAAAATTTGTTATGCAAATGGCCGTTTATGACGTCTCTTTCCGGCGAAATCGATGCGCTGAAAAACGTGTTGCCTTTTTAATGAGACAGAAATGGAATCGAGCAACGATTCAGTTATCTTTTACCTTTTCACGTTCCAATATCATTTTATCGCGTTAACGTTTTCTTTGTGTTTCTAAACCGTTGATGCATTCCACCTTTTTATTCGTTTTATCGCATGATTTGCATGTATGTTCTTTTTATTCGGAAACGATTGATTTTTACCGTTTCAACCTCGATTCTTTATACCGAGATTGTTGCTCGACTTCGTTGCTGAATTTAGTTGTATAAAAGAGACGTTTGTAGAAATTAATTTTGTAAATAGTTTAAGAGAAAGAAAGAGTAGTTTAAGTGTAAAAATTGTTTAAGAAATAGAAAGCATAGTTTAAGTGTAAGAATAGTTTAAGAAAGAGTATCGAAATAATTTAAGAAAATATCTTTCGTTAAAGGAAAATATTGTAAGAAAAGTATTGTAGGAAAATTCTTTGTAAAGAATCATAGTAGTGAGATAATTTATTTTGCGAGGAATAATAATTGTAATTTGTTGAGAGAAAGAGAATATGCAGTTTGCGCACAACTGCATATGCAGATGCTATTAAAAATTTATAAGAGACATTTATAAGGTAACGCGTGCGATGTCAGTTGTAAGACCTCTGATCGTTTTTAGCGAATTAAGGTAGAAGTAAGATTAATTGATAAGTTAAGTAATTGTAAATGCACATCCATCATAGTTGTAAGTTTCCCCTAAAAAACCTTTGGTACAATGTTGATAGCGCCATGATTTACTGTGTATTATAGTGTAGTAATATTTGTGTAGTGTATTATGTAATATAGTGCTACGAAGTAGTTTAAGTATGTCCACATAAATTTTGGAACTGGCACATAATCTTTCAAATATACTTGAATCTGTCGACGAGTGTCTGATTAATCACCTATCCTGACATTTTTATAGCTGCAATAACAGAGTGTATTACAAATTAAATGCGAAGGAAATTTTCAAGCTAATTTGAAGTAAATTTAAAAATTTTTAAAAGGGTTTTCATTGAATTTGGTTTTTTGTGCTTTGGGGGTTTGAGAAGGTTAATTTTTATAATTTGGGGGTTTGGGTGTTTGACAAATGGGGGATTTTGGGATTTTGGGGTTTAGAGAGTTAGGAGTTTGGGGAGTTAGGTGTTTAAGGATGTAGGGGTTTAGGGAGTTAGGGGTTTAGGGAATTAGGGGTTTAAGGAGTTAGGGGTTTAGGGAATTAGGGGTTTAGGGAGTTAGGGGTTTAGGGAATTAGGGGTTTAGGGAATTAGGGATTTAGGGAGTTAGGGGTTTAGGGAGTTAGGGGTTTAGGGAGTTAGGTATTTAGAGAGTTATGTAGTTAGGGGTTTAGCGAGTTAGGGGTTTAAGGATTTAGGGGTTTAGGGGTTTAGAGAGTTAGGGAGTTAGGGGTTTAGGGGTTTAGGGATTTAGGGGCTTATAGAGTTAGGGAGTTAGGGGTTTAAGGATTTAGGGGTTTAGAGAGTTAGGGGTTTAGAGAGTTAAGGAGTTAGGGGGGTGCAGATTTAGAGTTTTGGGTATTTAGGGTTGCAGCGTTATAGGGATTTGAGTATTTAGGGGTTTAGGAACTTAGGGGTGGGCAGATTTAGGGATCTAGGAATCCAGGGTGTTAAAAGGTTATTGGGATTTCAAAATTTAAGAGTTTAGAAATTTAGGGGTGTGTCGATTCAGGGATTTATGGATCTAAGGTGATTGTGTCATAGGGATTTGAGATTTTAAAAAATTATGGACTTAGGGATTTGGGAATCTATTAGAATCTAATTCTAAGTCTGTCAAATATTCATTCATTTCAGAATATTCATTTCTCTTCATTCGTACCACCCGGTATGCATACCAAACACACATACCGATTCACTTAGCACAGTGATTAGAATAGACCAATGAAAAACAGGACATGTTCGGCCCCATAATTGGTCCAATATGTAACCAAAGTATTACCAACCACACAAGTACCATCTACAAAAATACATAACCTTCTTACATAACCAT